TAAATAGCATTATAAGGCTGAGTGCGGTGGTTCATGCCTGTAATCCCAGTACTTTGGAAGGCCGAGGAGGGCGGATCATGAGGTCAGGAGTTCAAGATCAGCCTGGCCAACACAGTGAAACCCCGTTTCTATTAAAAATACAGAAATTAGCCAGGTGTGGTGGCACGCACCTGTAGTCCCAGCTATTCAGGAGGCTGAGGGAGGAGAATTGCTTGAACCCAGGAGGCAGAGGCTGCAGTGGGCCAAGACTGTGCCATTGCACTCTAGCTTGGGCAACAGAGCAAGACTGCATCTCAAAAAAAAAAAAAAAGGATTATAAATGTATTTTCTGCCCCTACTCCTAAGGGTGGCTATTTTGTGTTTCACAGTATGTTTTGCTTTACTGTGGCTAGTTAAGTCTGTCTGAAATAAAGCAACTAAGAAGGGTATGGTAGTACACACCTGTAGTCCCAGCTACACAGGAGGCTAAGGCGGGAGGACTGCTTGAGCCCAGGAGTTCGAGATCAGCCTGGACAACAGCATTGTAAGACACCATCTCAAAAACACAAATTGAGACAAAAAGGAAATAAAGCAACTAACACTTTAAAAATTAAAAGTAGTCACAGAGCCTGATAAATGTCAGGTGTTAAATTTCACAGAGGCTCAAAAGGTAGCCTAAAAAGTCCTTTGATGGCTTACTAGTCAATTGTATTAACTTGTGATTTGTGAATGTATATCAAGTAGACTGCATTCCTATGAAGGCTGGGGACAAAAGCCATCTTACCTCCTTCACAGACACACAGTTATCAATCCAGTTTTTAGGGCATAATCATGATCTGGATTACACCCAGGATCGACACCAGGTCATGAGAGCTGTAAAACTTCAGCTGTTTTAGGCATAACATGGAGAGTACAGGCTAGAATACAAATGACCCTATTCACTTCAAATATACTAGACTTACTGTATAGCCATTAGGCAAGAACTGAAGCAGACCTGGAGTCTCAAGAGTTGAGACAGCTTTCTGCTCAGTGCTGGGGTTCACTGTTTACCCCAGCTCAAATATGTAACATTTACCTAATAGAGACTATTTTTTAGACATTCTTACCTCTCATTCTTACAATGTTTAAAAACAGACTTTTTGGATTTTTTCCTAAGAACTAACTGCCATCAAAAAAAACGGGCTGGGAGTGGTGACTCATGCCTGTAATCCCAGTATTTTGGGAGGTCAAAATAGGAGGATTGCTTGAATCCAGAAGTCGAAGACCAGCATGGGCAACATAGACCTGTTTCTTAGGTACACGCCTATAGTCCCAGCTACTCAGGAGACTGAGGCAGAAGAATTCCTTAAACCCAGGAGTTCGAGGCTGCAGTCAGCTATGATCACCACTGTACTCCAACCTGGGTAAAAGAGTGAGACTCCACTTATTAAAAAAAAACTCTACAGTTGATATAATTGACAGAAATGTTATGCCACCCTAGCAAATAAAAACCAAATACTTAATATAATTACTCAGCAAACATCAATACATTAAAAACAAGTTAACAAATTAAATACAAAACTTTTATTTTGGCCACTTACTTGCATATTTGCTCATAGCCTTGTGATGTGATTAAAACTTTCACACTAGATTCATAAACATCATTGATATTTGACCAATGAGCCTGTATCTGAGGATCTTCAATTCGGCTTGCTAAGCTGTCAATGGTTGCTGCAGTTCTATTAAACACGAGAGGTTAAAAAACTTTGTTATCACACAAAATGATAGGAATATAAATGACTCATCAGTTTTATGAAAATTTTAAAACTAGATAACTACTTTTTAGAACTAAGTATAAAGCAGACTTTAAATAAAGGTAGAGGTAGTTCTAAGAAACCTTTCACACTGCTTGAATGTGTAGGTTCTCAGCTTCACACTACAATACACACTCATCACATACTCCTGATTATCACGATTCATAATGGGTTTATTTTATTCCCTTTAACTCACTCATTTTCTTCCACTCAGGAAAGCTTATCAGGAAAAGAGTGAGAAGGATACTCTAGGGTACAAACCCAATATAAATCATTCACAAATGTCAATATTTGATCCCTGGTAATAAATGACTTGTGGCATAGCCACATCTAGACCCATTACTGTATTGAAATTACAATCATATTGAAGAGAAGCTGGAGATTTTTTGCACAATTAAAACCTTACACTCCGAAAAAGAAAAATATCAATACAAATGAGAAATAGGATTCATCAAGTGTTCATTATACAGCAAGCATTATAATAAGCACTTTCCTGAATTGTATTATTTAATCTTACTAACAACTCTGTTTCTTAGGTAGGCACTATTATTTCCTTATTTAGAAGAGAAAAATGTTTAGCAATGTTCAGCAATTTGCCCACGGCCACATAGCTGTAAATTGGGATACAAAATCTAGGAGTCTAAATCCAGAGCCAAAAACCTGGGAATTAATTCCAAAGCCAGTAAACTTATACACACTAATCAATAGCCAAAACTTAGAACCAAAGCATAAATACATAAAAATATATTAGCATGTCAAGAGATCTTACTGTGCATAGTATCATACACATCAGTCTTTTTTCTTTTTTTGGACATGGTTTCACTCTGTCATCCCAACTGGAGCGCAGTGGTGTGACCACAGCGCACTGTAGCCTCAACATCCCAGGCTCATGTGATCTTCCAGGCTCAGCTTCCCAAAGAGCTGGGACTACAGGGGCATACCACCATACCCGGCTACTTTTTAAAATTTTTTTGTAGAGATGGGCCATGTTGCCCAGGCTGGTCTCAAATTCCTGGACTCAAGGGATATGCCTGGCCTCCCAGAGTGCTGAGATTACAGGCATGAGCCACCACACCAAGAGCAGCTAATTTTTAAAAGATTTCCTGGCCAGGCAGTGGCTCATGCCTATAATCCCAGCACTTTGGGAGGCCAAGGTGAGTGGATCACTTGAGGTCAGAAGTTTGAGACCAGCCTGGCCAACACGGCGAAATCTCGTCTCTACTAAAAATACAAAAATTAGCCAGGCATGGTGGTGCACGCTTATAATCCCAGCTACTTGGGACGCTGAGGTGGGATGATCACTTGAACCCGGGAGGCGGAGGTTGCAGTGAGCTATGCCACTGCACTCCAACCTGAGTGACACAGCAAGACTTCAACTCAAAAAAACTTCTTGTAGAGACAAGGTCTCACTGTTGCCCAGGCTGGTCTCAAACTCTTGGGCTCAAGCAAGCCTTCCATCTCGACCTCCTAAAGTGTAGGGACTATAGGCGTGAGCTACCACTAAGCTTTTTGTACACCAGAAAGGGAGTAATGTTTTTAAAGCTTTGCTGCTTCCAAGGCTACACTTACTACTCTGAAATTTATAATGGTTCTAAAGATAGTTATTTTCATGCTAACATTTATTTTGGGGATTATTTAAATTTATGGTCAATCAGAAATTTGCAAGATTAACAATCTACTCAGATTATCAGCTTTTTAAATTGAACTGTTATTAATGGTAACAGTAACCTACATGATACTTTATTACTTATAAGATACTTCTACATACATTGTTTACTATGACCCTAAGACCCCGCTCCTATACCTAATACTGACAGGGGAATAAATGGGGGGCCACAGACACTAAATATTTTGCTCAAAGTTACCTAGCAAGTGGTTGAGCCTTGGCTTATACACCTTTCACCCAAGTCTGCTACTCTTTTCACTGTATCATGCTGTCTTCACTAAAGTGTCTCCCTTTTTAGTAAAAATTCCTTTTATTAAAAGCTGAAGGACCTAAATTTCTACTCTAATACTACAAACTAATATACTAAAAAGACTGTATTAATAAGAAAAATACTGGAAACCAAAATATCATCTATTTAACGACAATGTCCATTCCTGAACTTGTGGAGTACTACCAATGCATAATTACAAATGAAGTAAAAACAGGACTTTTCACTAAGTACCAATAATAAAATAGAAAAGCACCCTTTAGCATTGAAAAAGATACATTTATATGTACTCACGCCATGTTATTTTATAAGCAATGTATATAAAAGAAAAAAAAAACAATTTTGGGAATTACATAGAACTGGGCACGAATCCTGGTTCTGCAACTTTTTAGCTGTGTAAACTTGAGCAAGGTGCATAACTTCTTTAAGCCTCAATCTTATCAGTAAAAACAAGGTTAATACTGCCTGTCCCAAAGAACAAAGATTAAATAAGTCAACATAAAGGAGAGTGTCCTCCAAACCCTAAAATGTGCAAGAAATAAAAAATACAGCAACCCTCAACAAAAGGATTTAAATCAGTTCAGAAATAAGTATCTCATGGCTGGGTTACTGAAGAAAGTATGCTGTTATAAAGCACATTTCTCCTAGTCAATTGTCTTTGCAAAAAAGTGACAGTGTTAGAAAGAATACGTTGTTAGATCAGACGTGGATCTAAGTCCTCCCCAGACTTGACAGGACCCAGTCTATGATGGCAAATAAACTCTTACACTTCCTCTCCCTAAAAAAAAAAAAGTTAAAGCATTCCAAAAAAGTATGTAACAGAAGAAAACAAAATGCAATTTCAAAGAGAAAACAGAAAACAGTAACTTTGTTCAACCTTACCTACTCCTTAGAAAAATATGCTTTGCTTGTTTAATTATTTTTTCCAGAAGCCCTTCACTGGACTGCAATGAATTAATTTCATTTTTATCAAAAGCTTGAGGACCCGAAAGTCTCATTCTCTTGTGGCCAAAAGGTGCACTTGCTGGATGAGGCATCATGATGGAACTCAAAGTCTGTTTATGAAACTAACAAAAACAGCCATTTTAAATAACCAATACCCACATAGTAAATGCTATATAATATTTAATCAAAACATGGGTTACATCTTAGAAACACTGAAAGGAATGGGTTTGAACCACATATGAAAAGAAACCTGACATGGAGAAAAATGCAAGCATCTAATAGGTCACACATAATGCAAGTCTGTAAAGAGAAGGGTCCTTCTCAAGCTGTAATTTTTTTCCTTTTCTCACGTCAAATGGGTAATGTGCTGACATCCTAATAAGGTTTGACGGAGCCACAACTCACATATGAACATGAAAACCCAATCATGCTTTTGAACAGCAAAAGGATCTCAAGCTTTAATTTTTATTTTAAAAGTTTTACAATGTAAAATAGTCCTCTTCATTGAGTCTCATAAATAGAACACATGCAATCAGTAAATAGTTCTTTCACTATACCCTAGATTAGAGGTTCCCAAACCTGGCTGCCTATCTGAACCTCCTGAGGAGCTTTTTAAAAACAATTCTTGCATCATCACAATCAACTGAATCAGATTTTGCATAGGGCAGGGGAGGCTGTAATACATACTTCTATGAAATTTCACAGGATATTCCTTTGAAATTACCCTGGCTGTGAGCCAGAACCCTGGAAACAGTTGTAGATAATCTGTAAGTAGAAGATGTCCTAAAATAAAACTAGTCTCTTCACAGACTCTGGCAAGACATTTTCCATTATCTCTCCCAGTCAGAATCACCCTTCCCTCTGAACTTGAACATCATGTTTCTTACACTTCTACTTTAAAACTTGCATCTCTCTCTTTTTTTTTTTTGAGACGGAGTTTCGCTCTTGTTACCCAGGCTGGAGTGCAATGGCGCGATCTCGGCTCACCGCAACCTCCGCCTCCTGGGTTCAGGCAATTCTCCTGCCTCAGCCTCCTGAGTAGCTGGGACTACAGGCACGTGCCACCATGCCCAGCTAATTTTTTGTAGTTTTAGTAGAGATGGGGTTTCACCATGTTGATCAGGATGGTCTCGATCTCTTGACCTTGTGATCCACCCGCCTCGGCCTCCCAAAGTGCTGGGATTACAGGCTTGAGCCACCGCGCCCGGCCAAAACTTGCATCTCTCTACCACTAGAAGGTATGCTTGGGAACAGGGACAGTATCCTGATTATCTCTGTATTCCCCTAGCACACAGCAAGGATCTTTCATATTAGACAGTGATGCTGTTGCTGTGTCAATAATCAAGACTCAGAAGAGGAGGAGGGGGTTTGTGCATACTCACTGCCCCGCACATGCTCACCATAATGCAAGAAAACATTTATTTCCTTACCTCTCTAATCAGTAGATGTAAATTATGCTCTAAGACATAAAGGTGGTCCTCCGGACTTTGCTTCTCAGGAGCAAATTTTTGGGATTTCTTATCATTTGAGGAATGGCACAAAGAAATAGATAACTGCAAATCTATTTATAAAAAGGAGGAGGACAGATGTAAATAAAATATGGGAAGGTACAAACTGTCTTCATAAAGTATAATCATAGTTCATTTTCAAAAGATATATTCTAAACTTAAAGATCAGGCCTCATGATTAACATGTGTATATCAAGATGACTATTCATGAATATAATAAACTACCATGTATTTCAATAATTCGAATTCTGTTGACATATAATATGGCTGCTGCCCTTGAGCTGTGGCTAAACACTGGTGAAAAATGCTATATATTGCTTTTTCCTTTAAAATAAGAGTTGGTATCCAGTTTTACTGAGTAGAAGACAGTCAGTCTTCCCTGCTCCCATAAGAAGTAGGATGGAATTTCTCACCACTAAAACCTATTTCATTCTAAGATCACTGCCCTTAGAATTTACATAAAAAACAAGTGCAAAGCTAAATACAAACTCATCCCCAGACAAGTCTACCTGCTTTTGAACAATATAATTTAAATCCAGTTTCTACAAATTTGAAAATATTATGAGTAAACTTCAAAAAATATATATTTTTTTGTTTTAGTAAAGACTGAATTTCACCATGTTGGCCACGCTAGTTTCGAACTCCCAACCTGATGTGATATCCCCAGCTTGACCTCCCATAGTGCTGGATGACAAGCGTGAGAGTAAACATTTTTAAACTGGCCTCTCATTTAGACAATCTCCCTTCAAAGCAACTGTTATTAAATAAAATGTAGCTATGCTAGTGCAAATTTTTTCTCTTGACAATAATAATGACTACATAAGTGCAAATTTTTGATACGTAGCTTAAAAATCCAAAGGTCACACTATTTAGGACACAGAACTGAATCCACAGAATAGTTTGTGTTACATGCTTTACTGGCTGTCACGCTGGATAACACACTATTCCTTTGCTCTTATTATTCTCCCAACACATCCTAACAGCTACCTTCTCTGTCCTATTCCTCAAAACACAAAGTCCTGTTCATAAAGTCAAAACAGGGCTGCACTTACTTGGAAAAGGCTGAGAAATAATCTGGTTTTTCACCACAATGTGAGGGATCTGTGATTTAATTTGAACAGCTTCCCGAGAGAGCTGTGCAAAAATTTCTTTACACAAGAGAACATTCTGTGCTGCTTCTAATTTTGTCTGCCAATGTGGGGAACCTGAAAGACAAGAAATGTATGTATCAATTATCTAACAATATTATGCCTTAATTAGCTTAAATGGCGATCTGAGTACATACGACAAATGTTCAGAAAATACTATATTACAGTATATTCTTTTTTTTCTATTCACTTTTTTTGTGAATAGAAATTTTCTATTGCCAATGGCAACTGTGTTACAAATCATCCCAGCAGGATACTGGGAAGGTTTTTTTGTTTTTATTCCCCCAAGCTTTCATTCTTAAAGAGGGAAGTTTCAATTCTTCAAGAGGGAAGTATCAATTAGCAATAATCATGCCACAGATAAACCTCAGTGGCTATGATACTGCCACTGTGTAAAGCTATATTCTTTCCAAAATATAAACACCTCAGTTCTTTAACAGAGAAAACCAGTAAGTCAGTCGTCTTAAAAAACATTGTGGGCTCACGCCCATAATCCCAGCACTTTGGGAGGCTGAGGCTGGCAGATCATCTGAGGAAGGGAGTTTGAGACCAGCCTGACCAACATGGAGAAGTCATGTCTCTACTACAAATACAAAATTAGCTGGGCGTGGTGGCGCATGCCTGTAGCCCCAGTCACTTGGCAGGCCGAGGCAGAAGAATGGCTTGAACCCGGGAGGTGGAGGTTGCAGTGAGGTGAGATCAAGCCACTGTACTCCAGCCTGGGCAACAAAAGTGAAACTCCATCTCCAAAAAAAAAAAAAAAAAAAAAAAGGTTGCATAGCTATTCACTAATGGTTTATTGACAGATTTTAGAAGAATATTTTGAACTGTTCTTATTTTAAAATATCTATTATTCCTAAGCTATATTTATCTTCAGTTTATTTTAAAATGCCAGCTCAAAGAAGACCAGAAATTAGAGGACAGAACATAACCACACCTGGTTTGGATTTGGGCAAAGGTCTTTTGAAGAGGTTAACTGTGCCAAGATCACCTATATCTGGAGATTGTTTTTGAATTGAAACCTATATGACAACAAAAACAAAAAAAAGTTAACAAATTAGCTTCAGGGCTATTCATAAGAAATTACATGAAAAATATTTTGACAAATACCTTGATATATGCAGACCCCTCTAAATCACTAGGAATTTGGACATCAAGGGGACAGTAATCTTCAGGTATCTTTTTATCCAGATCAAGATCCGTATTCTTTATTACTTCAAATGTACCATGATGAGGAAAGAGAGATCCTAATGTGGTATTAAAAATAGGAAAATAAAAAAAAAAAAACATATTATTCTGACACATATTATTAAATATATAATAATTCACATCCACATCACTGAATCATAAAGTAAGTTCCCACTAAAAAACGTATGTTTTGCGGGAAAGGGTGAGGAGTGATGAGCAAATGAAGGAAAGAAAATGGGGGAAGGGGGTTATTTACCTTTAAAAAAAAAAAAAAACACTTCTTAATCTAATGACATCATTATAATAAAAATTCGGGCCGGGCGTGGTGGCTCACACCTGTAATCCAAGCACTTTGGAGGCCAAGGCGGGCAGATCACCTGAGGTCGGGAGTTCAGGACCAGGCTGACCAACATGGTGAAACCCCATCTTTCAAAAAAAAAAGAAAGAAAAAGAAATTCCACAGAAAATCCAAATTGTTTTATTCCAATGGAGTATTGATAACAATGGGTGTACTCCTAGAAAATAATTCCTCAGATTGAAACCTTGGGGATGAAACATTTCTGGAGCTTAGCCTCTCTACTAAGTTTTCAAGTAAGCACTCTGCACTTAACAACAGAAAGAGAGAGGATAGTGCATATAATACCCTTTTTTCAACCAGTTCCTAGATGTTTTATTTCATTTTTTATTGTCTTTTTGGAGACGGTCTCCCTCTGTCTCCCAGGCTGGAGTATGGTGGTACAATCACAGCTCACTGCAGCCTCAAACTCCTAGGATTTAGCAATCCTCCCACTTCAGCCTCCCAGGTAACTAGGACTGCAGGTACATGCCATCACACCCAGCTAATTTTTAATGTTCTATTTTTTTAAATAGGGTCTATGTTGTCCAGTCTTATCTTGAACTCCTGGGCTCAAGCAATTCTCCCACCTTGGCCTCCCAAAGTGCTGAGATTACAGGTGTGAGCCGCCCAGCCCAGTCCTGAGATTTTATGTGACGTCTTTCTGTGTAAGTCAGAGGTTTGGGTAAGTTGTTCTGGGCCACTGAATTATGTAAGGAATAGGTGGTTAAATGTAACTGGTTTTGGGCCGGGCGCAGTGGCTCAAGCCTGTAATCCCAGCACTTTGGGAGGCCGAGGCGGGTGGATCACGAGGTCAAGAGATCGAGACCATCCTGGTCAACACGGTGAAACCCCGTCTCTACTAAAAATACAAAAAATTAGCTGGGCATGGTGGCGCGTGCCTGTAATCCCAGCTACTCAGGAGGCTGAGGCAGGAGAATTGCCTGAACCCAGGAGGCGGAGGTTGCGGTGAGCCGAGATCGCGCCATTGCACTCCAGCCTGGGTAACAAGAGCGAAACTCCGTCCCAAAAAAAAAAAAAAAAAAAAAACACCATGTGATCAAATACTTTCATAATCATAAGTGACTACGCCAAATAAAGAATTAGGTAAAGTTCCCGTAAACAAATTATTTCTGGAAAAGAAAATATCCAAAACCAGAAAATGCTACTTCTACAGACTACCTATTAAAAATTTTAAATGGTCTTATCAGCTTTAATTCATCTTTATAATGAGATATAACCTTCAGGGATCAAAATATTCCAATTATTATA